ATCACAGAGCGAATGCCTGGCAGAAGCGCCAGTGACCCCCGCGGGGCCAGCCGACCCTCCCCCAACAGCCCCCCTGGCGCGAGGGGCCCTGGGCTGACGGCCGACACTGTGTGTTTTGTTGTTTCTTCCCCCCCCCACAGACACTGTTTTTTTCCCCTCAGACTGTCTGTTGTTTTCCCACTGTGTGTGTGTGTGAGTGTGTGAGTGTGTGAATGTGTGAATGTGTGAATGTGTGAATGTGTGTGTGTGTGTGTGTGGGTGTGGGTGTGGGTGTGGGTGTGGGTGTGGGTGTGTGTGTGTGTGTGTGTCTGTGTGTTTGTGTTTGTGTTTGTGTTTGTGTTTGTGTTTGTGTGTGTGTGTGGTTTTCCCCCCACAGGTGTTTTTTCCCCACAGACTGTGTTATTTTGTTTTTTTTTGTTCTGTGCTTTTTTTTTCCACGGGCAAACGACGCAGAGGCGTCCTGGTGCGGCGGCCTGGCGAAGGCCGCCCCCCCAGCGACAGGCAGCGCCTGCGGCTCCCAGACAGAGACTCCCACAGCACCGCGATGGACGACGCCACGTACCCTGAAGGCGATGGCGCCAGAGTCCTGGGCGATGCTGGAGCCGACGCCTGGACACGTGCTCCAAGCCCTGGAGAACACGCGCCAGACTGCGAAGACGGCGGCCATGGGCGAGAACGGCGGTGCTACGCTGGAGGACAGCTCGAGACGGCGCCTCGGGAGCTGGCGGTGATGCCACGAGCGGAAGCGGTGCCAACCACGCCTGCGCGAACTATCGTATGGTCTCATGTCGCATGACACCACTCCGCTGCGCCTCCATGCGATGCCTGCCGCATCGCCTTCCGCTTGTGCCCCACGCCAGCTCGAGCCAGTGGAGAAAGACGACGCCACAGGACATGCCGCCGAGGCAGAGGCGCCGCCATCGATGCTGCTGAGACGAAGCATCCAAAAACCCAACTTCCGAAAACGTCCGGAGATGCCAGTGCAATTGATGCGCGAGTGCGGCGTCCTCATCCAGACGGCCAGAGCACGACGAGATCGGCCGGCGACCTTCGCCCACACGACGACGCATCAGACAAGCGCGGGGAGCCACGTTGGAACGCTCTTTGGGGCAGGCCTTTCAGCGCCTGCGTGTGCACCCCCCAGGACAGTCGGGCCCCAGCCAGAAGAGCGTCCCCCTCTCAAGCACAGGAGGACCTGCGCCAGCCAAAGCACACAGAGCAGCCGAGGGGACCCTCCCCAGGCTGCACGAGAGCACCCCGCAGGCGCGAAGAGCACGAGGGTACCCACCCCGAGCCGACCTCGATCTCTCGCACCTCGGTCCGACCGTGCGCGCGAGTGCCAGGTCCAGCCAGGGTCGAGGTCGGAGCGCCCGAGAGTTGCCTTCTGGACAGGAGCGCAGTCCGTCCAGCGGCCACCCGCCGCCCAGAGACGAGGCCGCACGAACAGCCGCCAGCCGCGCAGGCCGCACTGCCCCCATCCCTCTCCTGCTCCTGCTCCTCCTCCTGCCCCCGCCCCCACCGTCTGCCAAGGCTTGCCACCGGCCATCGATGATCGAGAGGGGAAGGCTGCACAGCACGTGCCGTAGGTACTCAACAGCTGCTGCTCTGCGATTTGGGAGCCTCTTGGGGCTAATCTGGGGCCCTATGCGGACCTCTGGGGAACAGGATCCAAGGCAGAAGTAAAACCCATCGCATCCTTCTCCTCGTTCTCCTGTTGCCCCTTCTCCTCCTCCTCCTGCTCTTCCTTCTTTCCTTCTCCATCTTCCTCCTCCTCCTCCTCCTCCTGCTCCTCCTCCCCCTCCTCTTCTGCGCGACCTCTCCTCTCCCCTCTTGTCGTTCGTGAGAATGGTTGTCTGTCGTTCCCTCTCCCCTGGCTTGGATGGGCTCCCTCGCCTCCTGAGGAGGCCAGGGGGCTTCCCCCTCAGACTGCGTGTCAGCAGAGCTCTGAGAGAGCCTCCTGCAGCGCCCCCCCCCCGCGGTTTTGGCTGTACTTCGGCCCCGGGGGGCGTCCCAGGCAGGCCTCTGCGAGGGCAGGGCCCGCATGCACACTTTCGCAGAGGCAATCAATAGTTCCACGGCTCGATGTATAGGGGCCGCCGTTCGGCCTCGCCTCCAACTCGCTTCACCTTAAACTTAACCTGAACCTCCTCCTCCTCCTCCTCCTCCTCCATGTTCTCCTCCTCCTCCTCCTCCTCTTCCTCCTCCTCCTCCATGTTCTCCTCCTCCTCCTCCTCCTCCTCCCTCCTCCTCCTCCTCCTCCTCCTCCTCTCCATGTTCTCCTCCTCCTCCTCTCCTCCTTCTCCTCCTCCTCCTCCTCCCTTCTCCTCCTCCTCCTCCTCCTCATCCTCCTCCTGCTCCTCCTCCTCCTCTCCATCCTCAAGGCAGCCTATCAGCGTGTAGCCCCCGCCACCCGCGGATGTCGTCGGAAGCACTGGGGCACCGCCGTCGAGCCTGGGGGCCAGCAAGTCTTTCAGCAAAGCCGCTTCCAGTCTCTCGCAGACTTTCTCCCCGCATCTTGGTCCTGCCCCTCCTCCGCCCGAGAGACCTTCCCTGTGGGGGTCCCGAAACGGTGCAGTGCCAGACCATGCGGTGACCTTGGAACCCCCACAGACCTCACCGCACGGTCCGCCACCGCGCGGCAGTTGGAACTCGGAGGCCCCGATCGCCCGAGACGTCCTCGGAGAATGACCGAGTCCCCCAACCCGTGCGCTCACTCCGAGTCCCCCACTGACTCACCACACGGGTTTGGTCCACGCGCCGTTGGGGAGCCCCCGATCCCTCCACCGAGCCTCCCACTCGCAGCCCCTGGAAGGCGGGGGAGTGCCTCCTCCTCCTCCTCCTCCTCCTCCTCCTCCTCCTCGTCTCCTCGTCCTTCTCCGCCTCCTCCTCCTCCTCCTCCTCCTCATCTTCCTCCTCCTCCTCCTCCTCCTCCTCCTCCTCCTCCTCCTCGTCTTCTCCTCCTCCTCCTCCTCCCCTCCTCCTCCTCCTTCTCCTCCTCCTCCTCCTCCTCTCCTCCTCCTCCTCCTCCCCTTCCTCCTCCTCCTCCTCTCCCTCCTCTCTCCTCCTCCTCCTCCTCCTCCTCCTCCAGTTCTCCTCCTCCTCCATGTTCTCCTCCTCCTCCTCTCCTCCTCCTCCTCGTCCTCCTCCTCCTCCTCCTCATACATATGGCCCCTCCCGTCGCGCAGGCGACGGACAAAAGCAAGCTTCGCCCCGAAGGCCCAGGGTGGGACGGCACCCAAGGTCGCACTGGGCGTGGACTGTGCTCCACGAGGGAGGAGGAGGAGGAGGAGGAGGAGGAGGAGGAGGAGCGAGGAGGAGGAGGAGGAGGAGGAGGAGGAGGAGGAGGAGGAGGAGGAGGAGAGGAGGGAGAGGAGAGGAGGAGGAGAACATGAAGGGAGGAGGAGGAGGAGGAGGAGGAGGAGGAGGAGGAAGGAGGAGGAGGAGGAGAAGGAGGAGGAGGAGGAGGAGGAGGAGGGAGGAGGAGGGGGAGGGGGAGGGAGGGAGGGAGGGAGGAGGGAGGGAGGGAGGGAGGGAGGGAGGGAGGGAGGAACATCGGGAAGGAGAGGAGGCGAGAGGGAGGAGAGGAGAGGAGAGAGAGGAGAGGAGAGGAGAGGAGAGGAGAGGAGAGGAGAGAGGAGGAGGGAGACGAGGAGGAGAAGGAGGAGGAGGAGGAGAAGTGAGGACTGACGAGAAGGAGATGGAGAAGCAGAAGAGAGATGGAGGGATGAGGATGAGGATGATCATGAGGATGGGGATGAGGATGATGATGTGGATAATGATGAGGATTAGGATCATAATGAAGCTAAGGAGGAGGATGAGGATGAGGATGATGATGAGGATGAGGATGGTGGGGAGGAGGAGGAGGTGGATGAGGAGGAGGACAAAGAGGAGGAGAGGGAGGATGAGGAAAGAGGATACCAGGAGGAGGAAGAGGAAGAGGAGGAGGAGACGAGGATGAGGAGGAGGAGGAGGGGAGGAGGAGGAGAGAGGCGGAGAAGGAGAGGGGAGAGAGAGGAGGAGGAGGAGGAGGAGGAGGAGGAGGAGGAGGGCTGAGGAGGAGGAAGAGGATGAGGAGGAGGGGGGAGCAGGAGGAGGAGGAGGAGGAGGATGTGGAGGTGGACGAGAATGATGATGATGATGCTGATGATGCTGCTGCTGATGATGAGGAGGAGGAGGAGGAGGAGGAGCAGCAGCAGGAATGACGCTGGTCGAAGGGGGGCCACCAGGAGGGCAACAGCGGACGGAAGGCAAGCAACAGTGCCGCCCACCCACTGCATCATTTGTCACGCCTCCCAGCTTTACACGACGATGTGAACCAGTCACAAGGGATCTCCAGAACAACGAGGAAGAGGAGGAGGAGGAGGAGGAGGAGGAGGAGGAGAAGGAAGGAGGGGAAGAGGAGGGCGGCCATAGACCTTGCCCCACGATGGCGGAATTGGATGAAGAGGACGAGAAAGAAGAGGAGGACCAGCAGGGAAGATGAGCAGTGTCGGATGTGCTCCTCTCCCTCCTCATCCTCCTTCACGTACTTGGCCTTCTCCCATCCCTTCCCACTCCCGTCCTCACCATCGAGCTCGTAAATCTACTACTTGCCCCAGAATAGGCGAACAGTGGTCGTCGCGTCATACAAGCTAAAAGGAAAACGTGAAGCCAGGCAGCACCAGTAGCCGCAAGGACCACATGCTGGCAAGAGAGCGCCAGACAAACAGCGTGGCTCGCACGGGCATGAAGAAGCGCTGGCTGCTGTGATGGTCAGCTTGGGGAAGGGAACCATGCCAACAGAACCCCAAGAAGAATGAGGAAATCAACCAGGTGGGGCGAGGACTCACTACTGGACGGCAGCAGTTGTGCGTTTGAAGTGGTCAAGTTCTGCACCGGTGCTAGTTGTACTCCACGGCGGCCAACAGTAGGGCAACGCCTTCAACCGATTTTCCAAAATGGCCAGTGGTGTAACACTCCAGCCATGCAGGCGACTCTGACTGTTCAGGTGGCGGTGCGGAACGCAGGCGGTCTAGAGGCGAGGCTCCCCCCCCTTCCTGGAAAATTTCCACCTCCCTCTCTACGTAGAGGCATGGCTGTGCAACGCGGGTGCAGATGCTGGTTTCTGACTTGTCCAGGCTGCTTCTGACTAGAATGGGAGTGGGCTGTGATCTGGACCGTGCCTAAGATGTAAGTCAAAAGGGGCAAGAGCGCCTGGGGCAATGCAAATGCATGTCCAGTCATGATGCCAGTGGAAGCGGGCATAGGCTGCACTGTAGACGTTTCAATGTGACAAGGTGCAGGAGTGGCATGGATAGTTAGATGGCATGCTCCATCGTGATGAAAGCCCAACACCACAACCCGAATCCTCCACCTCCATCTCCCCAGTGCAGCGGCAGGCCTGTACCGAGAGACTGCTGCCAGTTTGAAGCTCCATCGTGCGAGATGGAAACCTACACCAAAGTAGTATCAACTGACATTAACAAATACAGCTGTCCGTCTTCGTGGCCGTCCTCCCCCTCCTCCTCCTCCTCCTCCTCCTCTTCCTCCTCATCCTTCAACCCCCCCGTGTCCTCTCCCTTTTCAACTATGAGCGATCCTCTCCGATCTCCCCCGAAGACGTCCTGAGAGTGTCGCGCCTCCCCCTCCGCGTTCAGTTATACACACAGGACTGGTACGAGCTGCATTTCCCAGTGTGACTCGTCACTCCGACCGCCTTCGGTCCTTCCAGCAGAGTGCTCCCGCTGCAACGTGGGCCCTCTTCTCGGCTCGGCGTTCTGCTCCCCGTGATCAGGGTGGCGCTCTCGCCCCACAACGGGCCTCTGCTCTGAACCCGAGTCGTTCCTTATAGAACCGTGTCCCCGCTCCTTTCCCCTCCGCCGCCTTCCCCGGGCCCTCCGCGTTTCCCGCGCCTCCATTCCCGCTCCTTGCTGCTGCGCTGCTCCTCCCAGTCCTCCTCCGCCTCCTCCTTCGTCATCCTGCTTGTCCTCAAGCTCATCCGCCAGACCATCCTCCTCCACTCCACACCGCTCCTCCTCCTCCTCCTCCTCCTCCTCCTCCTCCTCCTCCTCCTCCTCCTCCTCCACTCCACACCGCTCCCCTGCTGTGATGGCGCGAGATACGATGGTGTCTGTCTGCGTGTTCCAGGTCCGCTATGTCGCCCGTCGGCGGATCGAGACACACCAAAGAAGTGGGAAGGTATGGGTGGGAGGGGTAGGATGTCAGATATGGCGCGACCGCACCCAGCTCGTCCAGCTCCCCTCTTACTCTGCCTCCTCCTACCCATTCTCACCCTGTTCCTCTAACCTCCCGTCTGTATTGTCTCCGCCTCCTCTCGTGATCGTCGCCTTCCAGCTGCTGCAGCTCCTCTTGATCCTCCTCCTCCTCCTCCTCCTCCCTCCTCCTCCTCCTCCTCCTCCTCCCCCTCCCCCTCCTCCCCCTCCTCCTCCTCCTCCTCCACCTCCTCCTTCTCTTCATCTTCATCACAAACATCATCACCATCATCGTCATCACCATCAACATCTTCATCCTCATCATCAACATCATCAGCATCGTTATCTTCATCAGCATCCCACTCATCATCATCATCATCATCATCATCATCATCACCACCACCACCACCACCACCACCATCATCATCATCATCATCATCATCATCATCATCATCATCATCAACACAATGGCAGCATCAAGAACTTCATCGTCATCATAATGCATCATCAGCAGCATCATCCGAATCACCATCATTATGATCATCATCCTCATCATCATCATCATCATCAGCAGCATCAGCAGCATCATCGACATCAGCATCGTCCTCATAATCCCCATCCTCATCGTCATTGTCATCCATATCACCACCACCACCATCATCATCATCGCAACCACCATCGTCACCACCGTCGTCATCACCATCACCATCATCAGATCATCGTCAGCCTCCTCCTGTTCTTCGTCATAAGCATCAGTATCATCATTATCCTCCTCATCATCATCCTCAGCATCACCATCATCATCACCATCATGGACAGTAGCATCATACTAATCATCCTCATCATCATCGCCAGTATCATCACCATCATCACCATCATCATAAACTTGATCATTAACAGCAGCATCACCATCACCATCACCATCAGCATCAGCATCAGCATCAGCATCACCATCACCATCACCATCATCATCATCATCATCATCATCATCATCATCATCATCAGCATCATCATCATCATCATCATCATCATTAGCATCATCGTCATCATCGTGAGTTTTATCAGCATCATCATCATCATCACCATCATCATCAAAAACCATCACCACCATCATCATCACCACCACCATCAGCAGCAACACCACCATTCCCAACACTCCGGCCCCGCTCCCCCTCCTCCTCCACCTCGTCCTCTGCGCAGCTCCCTGGGAGCCCAGTGCCACCGACGGACTCCCGCACCGGGACCCAGCGGCCGCCGAAGAGCCCCCTGCCGCAGATGCACGCGAACCGGGAAGACTCCAGCCTGCAGGGAGGTGCAACTCCTCCTATGCTAGCGAGGACTCCTCAGCGCCAACGGTCGCCCCCTCCTCCTCCTCCCCCTCCTCCCCCTCCTCCTCCTCCTCCTCCTTCTCCTCCTCCTCATCCTCCTGCTCCTCCTCCTGCTCCTCCTCCTCGTCGTCGTCGTCCTCCTCATTCTCCTCCATTCCTCCTCCTCCTCCTCCTCCTCCTCCTCCTCCTCCTCCTCCTCCTACTCCTCCTGCTCCTCCTCCTCGTCGTCGTCGTCCTCCTCATTCTCCTCCATTCCTTATCCTTGTGAACCGTTCCTCCGCGTCGCACCCCGAGGCCGGTCGGAATGGCGGGCCAGGCGCTTCGCCCGAGACGTCCCCACCATCCACTGTGATCCTGCATCTGAGACGCCGGTTCTCAGCACGTGGCTGCTCCTCCTCCTCCTCCTCCTCCTCCTCCTCGTCCTCCTCCTCCTCCTCTTCTCCCCCCTCCTCTCCTCTCTCCTCTTCCTCCTCTCCTCCTCCTCCTCCTCCTTATACTCCTCTTCCTCCTCCGCTCCTCCTCTCCTCCTCCTCCTGCTCCTCCTCCTCCTCCTCCTCCTCCTCCTCCTCCCTCCTCCTCCTCTCCTCCTCCTCCTCCCTCCTCCTCCTCCTCCTCCTTCCTCCTCCTCCTCCTCCTCCTCTCCTCCTCCCTCCTCCCCTCCTTCCTCCTCCCCCCACTCCCCCCACTCCCCCCACTCCCCCCACTCCCCCCGCGGGCGTCGGAGCAGAGGAGGCCCGGACTGCACGCCCCTCTGCCGGGCGGCGCCGCGGAGCGTCTGCTTCAAAAAGACAAAACCTGCAGCGAGTGTTTTGCAGACGGAGGGCGGGCGGTCTGTCAAAGCGTGGCTCTCGCCTCGGCGCCGCGCACCTTCGCCGTCCACATCTGCAGCGAGCTTCGCGACAGCAGGGGGCGGTCCGTTCTCTCCACGCGTGGCCCTCGCCCCGGCGCCGCGCACAACCGTCTTGAAAAACTTGCAAGCGCTCCGCGGCTTGCAAGCGCAAACCCCAAGACAGCCCCAAGACGCCCTCAGCAGAGCCCCACGACGGCCAGAGCCTCCCGAGATTGCCCAAAAGCCCCAAAACGGTCCAAACAGGGGCCCAAGACGGTGCAGAAGGGCCTCTAAGAGAACCCGGAAGCGCCCAATAACAGGGACTCGCCTCCCACTCTGAACGTGGTTCCCTCTTCTGTGCTCACGACTGCTCCAGAAGCTGGGGCCCCAAGGGATCGGCGGATTCGGACCTATTTGTTGGATCCCTACACATGCGATGGGTTTGATCTTTCACGTGGGACTGTGTCTGGATATCCTATCGCACGGATGGCGGATGGTGTACATCCGTAGCATGCACAAGTTCACGTATGCGTGATGTTTGACTTGATTGTTCCACGATTGGCTTTGTATGAATTTTCAAGTGGAAGAGGATGCTTCGTTCGTCACATGCAACTTGCCATGCCTATGTGGTTGCCAGCGGGCAATTCGACTTTTCACGCCTCGCATACCATACATTAGAAGACGGCGCTCAGGACTGCGCCCAGGGAGGCGCTAAAGGATCAAGAATCGTGCTCTCGCCCTCCTCGGGTAATCTCTTGATTTTTCTCGGCGCCCACTCTGTCAGCCTTGGGGGCCCTGTTCCATCTGTCTTGGGACACTCGTGGTATCCTTGAGGGCGCTCTTATGTCGGACGCTCTTGGGCAATCCAACATTAAAATGGCGATAGGGGCACGTTCGCAAACGACAATGAAAAAAGAAGAGGAAACATTGGGGTCAAATGGTCTATAAGAGATGTGCTTACGGCAACACGGAACTGTCGTCCTTCTGGGTATTCTCTCTCGCTCTCTCTCTCTCTCTCTCTCTCTCTCTCCCGCGCCCCGCCTGCCGCCTGCGCGCCGTCCTGGAGGGCCAAGGTGCATGGCACGAAGCGCACGTGCAGTCTTGTTTATACATATACAGATATATATATATATATATATATATACAGGTATGGGTATAAACCGATGCGGAACAAGGATAAGGATAAGGAGTAGGAGGAGGCACGAGGTCAGGATGATAAGGATGGGAGGATGAGGATGAGGATGAGAAGGAGAAGGAGGAGGAGGAGGAGGAGGGGGAATATGACCCCAAGCAGAGGTGCCCCAGAACCAGCCTGCCTGGTAAGCGTATGCTCGGAGAGCAGCTCACCCTGCAGCCCAAGGCGCTTGTGGAGATATCCGACCTGGGCCAGGCACAAGTCTTCCTGCCTTCTCCTTCATTGTCCTTCCTCCTCCTCCTCCGCCTCGCCAGCCTCCTCCTCATCATCAACATTACCACCACCACCATTATCATCAGCATCACCATCATAATCACCCTCATCATCATCAGCATCATCAGCACCATCGTCATCATCATCCTCATCGTCATCAGCATCGTCCTCCTCCTCCTCGCTTCCTCCTCCTCCTCCTCCTCCTCCACCTCCTCTGACAGCCTCTTGTTTCTCCTTCTCTGGCTCCTCCTCCTCCTCCTCCGCATTATCTTCCTCCTCCTCCTACTACTCATGATCACCCTCATCCTCATCCTCATCCTCATCCTCATCCGTATCCTTGTCCTCATCCTTCTTCCTCCGCCTTCTTCGTGATCCTCATCATCTGACCTTCTCCCTCCTCCTCCTCCTCCTGCTCCTCCTCATCCTCCTCCTCCTCCTCCTCCTCCTCCTGGCTCCTCGGCCCTGCGCGCCCGTTCGGCACTCCCGCTCACCCCCCCACAGACCCCCGCCGCCTTGCCCCCAATTCCCCCTTCCCCCCCCTCCCCGCCCGACCCCCTCCGTTACGAAACCCGTTCCCCGTCCTCCCGTCGTCCGCCGCCCGCCCCCCTCGTCCGACCCCTCGGGCGCGGTCTATAACCGACCCCCTCCGCGACGAGCCTCTTCTGCGACGAGCCTCTTCTGCGACGAGCCCCTCGCCCTCTTGGGCGAGGCGAGGGGGTCGACACGGAGGGGTCGTTTTGGAAGGGCTTCCTATTACTAGAAAACATGTTTTCCTGTTAATAGGAAAACATGTTTTCTATGTTTCCCTATTAAACAAGAAAACACGTTTTCTATTGTTTCCCTATTAATAGGAAACCGATTCGGAACTCTCTTATCATACGTTTGCCGATTATAAAGTCAGACCACCCCGGATCCCCCGCCAGGCCTCCGCACCCGCCCTCCATGGTGATCGCCGCGCCCCCCAGCCAGGATGCGGCCAGCAGGGTGGCGGCGGCGGATTTGGGTGGCAGGCTCCTTCCGAGGGGGTGTAGAAGTGGGGCAGGGCCATGGCTCCGGAAGACCCCCGGAGGAGGAAACATCAGCCGCAGGCCATGCTCGCTCCCGAACCCCACCTTGGCTGCCCCCCGCTGTGCGCAGCAACGGCGATTGTTCCCACTCAGCTCCAGGGGGGAACCCTCGACCAGACCAGCCCGCCAGGGGATCAGCTGGGCGAGGATGCCCGAAGCCGCCCGGGGGCGGCATGCGCGGGGGACAGGCGGGGATGACTGGTAGCTCGATCGCGTGGCGGCCACCGCGGGTTTCTCTCGAGCCCTGGAGGATGAGGTCGGAGGGAGGAGGCATGGATAGACACGGCCAAATTAGGGAGAGGGAACATGGGGGCGATGCCCCTCAACAAGTGTTACCCAAAGAAGAGCGATGTTGGGCAGGCAACCTTCGTCCCTTTATGGGAAACGTCCGCGGCGGTACCGACAACGAGCTGTGGATCTCCGTCCCCATTGGTTCCGTCCCCGTTCGGGTCTTCCTGAACGGAGAAGGGAGGGGGTATGGAGGCCAACAGTAGGAAGAGTCTGAGGCGGAGGGATGAGGGAGGGCCCCTGCCGTCCAAAGACCGCCGAACGCGGCGCAACGGAGAATACTCTCTTCGGCTTGCTTGTATCACTCCCCCCAAAGCGACCGCAACTGCCGCCACGTCGCCCAGCGCCATAGGGCCGCTGAGCAGGACGAAGAACGCCACCAGGGCGAGCGGGTAGTACTTGTTCTTCATGGGGATGAGGCCGAAGAAGAGAGTCTGCACCTCTGGATTCATCATCTTGCTCGCCGTGATCGAGAGCACCGCCAGGACCACGAGGCCGTGGCACGGCACCCGGGCCCAGATGGGCGGCAGGCCTACCAGCGGAGACAGGGCGTCCAGGGCAAAGGCGAGCAGCAGGAAGAGCAGGTTCACGGCCACCGTGGAAGAGACCACCCACAGGATCAGCCTGCCCGAGCCGAGGGCGCGCTCCATGCCGGCCACAGAGTTCAGCACCCCGTACGCCAGGAACAGCGCGAAGAGGCTGCTCAAGAGCCCTGCGGGCGGGGCCCACAGGCACGACAGGAGTATTCCCGTCACCCGGCCCTGCTTCACGCCAGCCAGCGACAAGTCCAGGACCACCTCCAGGTAGGACGAATAACCGACGAGCGCGAAGAAATGGAATACCAAGGGCAACACCGCGATGGAGCGCGTGACTGCAGGAGCTGGGCTCCAGATGCCTCGAAGCATCTCCATGAAGGGTAAATCGTGCGAAGGCCTCTCCAAGGCCTCGGGCGGCACGCCACGAACACTCTCTTGAGTCGAATTGGCTATGAGCTCTGGGAGAAGCGGGGAGCAAGCAGCAGGCTGGAGCAGACGACGCGAGCATGCCCCCGCGCAGTCCCACAGGCTCCGACGAAACTATCCGAGGTCGGCGGGGTGCCCTGGGCTTTCCCAGAGACTCCGATGTCAACTTGAACGCCCCGAGAGCGCTGGCCACGCAGCCCTTTGCCTGGTGGGGAGAGAGGCCGCCTCCTGAGCCTCCTGCAGATCAACACCTCGACCCTCATCGCTCGCCACCCCTCCGTGCAGACTCTCGGGGCCGGGGAGGGGGAGGTGGGGTGAGAAAGAGAAATATATCAGAGTGAGGGGGCCCGAACGATCTTACGTCCTTCCTGCGCGCGTGGCTGGATGGGGGTTCCGTCTCTGGGGGGGGGCAATACGTGGGGGCGATGACTGGGGAAATATAGCGGGGCAATGCTTGGGACAGCTCATGGGGGCAACACGGGAGCGGCACGGGAGGGCAACACCAGGGGCAATCCCTCGGGCCGACGCTCGGGGGCAGTGCATGGGGGCGATACGTGGGTACAGCACACGGGGGCGATGCTTGGGAGCAGTACGTGGGGGCAGCACACCTGGGGACTTCACACGAGGTCCGTAGCTGCCCCGGCACGCGACACGCAACGCGTGGCGTGTAGACACGGAGCCTGACGCGTAGGCCGAAGACCGATCGTGTGACGCGAGACGTTCGCCAAGACGTGGGCCAACACGCTGAGCCAGCACGCGGCGTGCGAACACGAACGCTTTGAACACGGCGCGTGCTGGGTTTCGAGACGGGCCTGTCGGGGCAGGTGGGGTGGGGGCACCCCTTTGAGGGCAATGCTTCTGCCCACCACCGCCGACCCCACACTCCGATGCGCCACTACGGGGTGCTGTTACGCATGCCCTGGGCTCCAGCCAAATCCGTGCTGCCGCTGGCCGCCCGGGCCGAACCCATGCGAAGGCAGCCCCCGAGACAGCCGTGGCGGCGCGAACAGAAGCCGACCGAGGCGCCGGGCGGCGGCGAAAGCGGGTGCGGGAGCAAGGAGCATGAAGAGCAGGTGGCCGATTTCGAACGCGCCGGATCCGAAAACGCCGACGTCCCCCTGCTTCCGTCAGGAAGGATCAGACCTCAGGAGAGACAAACGTACAAAAGTACTGCTGCCACCAGCTGGGGGAGTGGCCGCTGCCTCCCCTCGAGCTGGCGGCACCTCCTTCCGGGAACTCTCTGGAGGCGTGCATGCCTGGAACGAGGTGCCACCAGCTCGAGAGGGTGGGACAGCCACCCCCCTAGCTGGAGGAGGAGGAGGAGGAGGAGGAGGAAAGGGAGGAGGAGGAGGAGGAGGAGGAGGAGGAGGAGGGGGAGGAAAGGGAGGAGGAGGAGGGGAGGAGGAGGAGGAGGAGGAGGAGGAGGAGGAGGAGGAGGAGGAGGAGGGGGGGGAGGAGGCGGAGGAGGAGGAGGTAGTGGTACTGCTGTCTCCGGTGACAAACGGCTCTCCTGGTCACGGCGAGCCTCGGCCACGAGGAGGCTCCGCAAGCCAGAACTGAGGAACGCCCCGAGAACCCGAGCTCCCTCTCCTCCTCCCTCCCTCCTCCTCCTCCTCCTCTCCTCCTCCTCCTCCTCTTCCTCCTCTCCTCCTCCTCCTCCCCTCCTCCCCCTCCTCCCCCCCCTCCTCCCCCCTCCTCCTCCTCCTCCTCCTCCTCCCCTTCCTCCTCTCCTCCTCCTCCTCCTCCTCCACCTCCTCCTCCTCCTCCTCCTCCTGCTGCTGCTGCTGCCCCTCCTGAGCCCAAAGTGGTCCTTGTCTCGGCGTCTCGCCTGTACTTCCGCCAGCGGCGCCGCGAGGGGCCCTCGGGGGGAAGGCGAGAAGGACCAGGCCTCCTCCGAGGGCGGCGGGGCTTCTCAGAAGCCCTCCGGCCTTCTGAAAAACGTTTCCGCGTCCCTGGGGAGGGCTTCGAACACTTCCCCGAAGGCCGGAGGTCTCACCCGAGACCTCCGAGAGAGGGCCCCGCCCCCTCTCCTGGCCCCCCCCGGGCTCGCCGCCAAAGTTTTACAGTAGGGCCCCGACCACAAGAAACCTCCCTCCACAAACCCGACCCTGAGGCCCCAGGGCGCCCATGGATTGTTGGTGTGGGAGCGTCGCGCTCTCCATAGCAAAACCGCCGAAGCCCAAGAAACCCAGGGCACCCTGGAGGCAAGCAGGGTGATACTATTTTGGGCGACACTCGGATCCGGGCGTTGCAACTTGTCGGCGGCGAGCCCGACGTTGTGACCGACACTGTGACCCTTAGGTCCTGGCGTTTGAATGTCTTCTCGGGGGCGGCCAAGAGGGGGGCGCCCAAGAGAGGGGGGGGCGCAAATCATGGCCGGAGGCATGTGCGCGGCCAAGGGGGGGCTGGGGACGTATTGAAATCCGAAGGGGCGCCATGAAATCTGGGGAGATAGGATGGCCCCCGCTCTGATATCCACACACACACACACACACCCCTAGTCATCCCCCCCTCTTTGCCGCCCCCGAGTCTTCACAACGGGCGTTTTCGCTCCGCTTCGGGCCCCGGGACCCTCACAGATCAGGCGGGCTCGAGAAGTGACGCGGCAAGATGGGGTCTGGGGCTGCGGCCGCGGATGCTCTGCGATGTTGCAATGCTTGTCGCAGCGTCGGATCTCGGGGCCAGAACGGCGGTCACGCTCGGGCGCTTTCGGGCACCAGCTTCGGGCACGCTCGGGCAGATGTTCGGTCACGGCCGCGGTCACGACGCCTCCATGACATAGAGACGAGACCACGTGACAATTATGCGCAGCCGCCCTCTTCGTTTCCTTGCCTGCCCGCTGTGCAAGAGTAGTTATCGGCGGTGAGCGAGGGGGGGAAGTGAGAAGGAGAAGGCCTTCTCAGAAGGCGGCGGGACTTCTCAGATGCCCTCGCGCCTTCTGAGCGATTGTCCGTGTCTCAAGGGAACTTCTCAGAAGGCCGGGGGGGGTCCGAGCGTTGTGATAGGGCCTGCTCTTTCTCACTTCCCCCCCTCGCTCGCCGCCGAATGATCCAACAACGGACGGTTTTGCCTTGCTTCGGGCCCCGGGGCCCTCACAGATCGATCTGGCTCGAAGAGTGGCGCAGAAAGATAGGGTCCAGGTCTCTGGTCGTGATTGTCGCGATGCTGCACTTTTTCGCACCGTCGGATCTCCGGGGGCGTTACAGCGCACGTCGCTGAAGATGCGCGGCGCGCTGGCGACGTTGCAGCGCTCGACGGCGAGCCCAGGGGGAATGCAGAGGGGGCGGGCCTCCTCAGAGGGCTCGAAAAACCTCTGGCCTTCTGAGAAGTGCTCTAAGAGCTCTCTCCGAAGACAGACGCGCCTCCTCAGAAGGCCAGAGGGCCTCTCAGCAGCCCCGGCGCCTTCTGAGACGGCTTGCCCCAGGAGGAGGAGGAGGAGGAGGCGGAGGAGGAGGAGGAGGAGGAGGAGGGGAGGAGGAGGGGGAGGAGGAGGAGGAGGAGGGGAGGAGGAGGAGGAGGAGGAGGAGGAGGAGGAGGAGGAGGAGGAGGAGGGAGGAGGAGGAGGAGGAGGAGGAGGAGGAGGCGGAGGAGGAGGAGGAGGAGGAGGAGGAGGAGGAGGAGCTCACACTTCCCCCACGGGCGCGCCGCCGAAGAGCGCGTCGCCCAAAGGGTGCGCGGCGCGCCGGCTGCGCACCGGCAGAGGGGCGGAGAGCTGGCCGCGGGGAGGCGCGCTCGCTGGCCTCCGCCGCGGGCGCAGCTCGGCAGCGCCCGCGGCAAGCCCGGCAGGCGCCCGGACCGGGCCAGGACGGCCTCGGTGCCAGCCAGCGCCCCGGCCTTCAGTGCTCGGAAATCGGCCCAGCGATCTCCACCTGGGCCCCCCTCTGAGCTCTGAGCGGGGGGTGCCAGCGGCGTCTCCGGCCCGAGGCCTCCCCAGCGTCTCGCAACGTATCGTGCTGGGGCCCCCGAGGCCCTCGAGGGCCTCGCGAGGGGGGGGGGCCCTGGAGGCCGCCTGGGTGTCCCCGGGAATCCTGGGGACACCTCTGGCAAGAGACACCTCTGGCAACGCCCGCTCTGACGGCTTCCCCGCCGATCCTCGCGGGGCGCCCCGGTGGCGCCCCTGGCGGCGGCCCGACCCTCGGGCCCCTCGAGCAGCTCGGCGCCGCGGGGCCGAAGCAGTGCTGAGCCCAGGCGCGCTCCCGCCCCCCTCGGCAAGCTGCGGTGGGAGAGGCCCTCGCCGAGCCCGTGGAGGTGTGCGCCCGCCCTCTCGGCACGGCAGGGCCGCCTGCCGCCCGGGACGGCGCCACCTGGAGCTCGGACCTCCTCGAGGCGCGGTGGTCGGCGGCGAGGGCCCCGCAGCGCGCGAGGGGCGCGGCGGGCGCGGCGCAGCAGGCTCGCACGGCGCCGGGGAGCGCCCAAGCCTCCGCGCTGGCCCGCGCGGCCGGCAGCAGGAGGCGGCGGCAGGTGAGCGGCCGCCGTCGGCGGCGCGGGGCGCGCGGCCTCCGTCCAGAGCTCCTCTCGGGAGCAGCGAGGAGGTCTAGATCAAGAAGGGCGAGTTCGAGAGCTGCCAGGGCGCCGCAGGTCGAGTCGAGGGGCCTCCTATCGGGCCGGGGGGCCTCGGGTCCAGCGGCATCGGCCTTGTCCAACGCACCCTTGTGGCAGCCTCCGATCCTCGGACGCGGCTGGAATGCGCACGACCCCTCTCGAGCAGCGGGGCCAGCCCGAGGGCGGCGGCTCAGCCTGGCAGGCCGAGCCCCGCAGTGCTGGCGACCGTCTCGTCTGCCGAGGCGCTGCTGAGCAGCCGGCCACCTGAGCGACGAAAAATAGCGGGCCTTTGCAAGACGGTAGGCGATTGTACGCAGTGGCTTACGCGGACCGCCGGCGCGGCACGCTGCACTGGAAGCGAGGGCGGTTTTTTACGCGCGGCCGTATGCGCGGAAAGCTCACGCGCGAACGTCGGCACAGTCGAGCCCGTTGCTTTGCGTCGCCAGCCTGGCAGGACCGCGTCGACTCGACGAGGGCCACGGGGTCGCGCAAGGCCCACCAGCTGCTCGTGAATGTCTGCGAGGCGAACGCCAGGCCCGGCCCAGATTCTGCAGCGCTCTGCCCCGCTGAGGGTCACGAAGCGCATCCAGTCGCCGTCGAGCGACGCCTGCAGGAGCAGCGCTGGAAACAAGTGGGCGGTGTAAGTCAGGTCCCCGGCTGGAGCCGGGAGGTCGCACTGGCCAGCATCGTTGAAGCCGCATGCCACGGCGGTGCCGTCGCTCCTGAGCAGGACATTGTGGTTCCCGCCAGCGGCCACTTGCACGTAGGTCAGGTCCCCGACCAGAGCCGGAAGGTCGCACGTTCCTTCATAGTTCCAGCCGTAGGCCGCCGCGATGCCGTCGCTCCTGAGCAGGACCGTGTGCTTCCCACCAGCGGCCGCTTGAACATAGGTCAGGTCCCCGACCAGAGCCGGGAGGATGCACTGACCATTGTCGTTGCAGCCGCAAGCAACAGCAGTACCGTCGCTCCTGAGCAGGACCGTGTGGTCCCCGCCGATCCCAACTTGCACGTAAGTCAGGTCTCCGACCAGCGGCGGGAGGATACACTGACCAGAATCATTACAGCCGCAAGCGACGGCGGAACCATCGCTTCTGAGCAGGACCGTGTGGTCCCCGCCGGTGCCAACTTGCACGTAGGTCAAGTCCCCGACCAACGCTGGGAGATCGCACTGACCACGATGATTGCAACCGCAGGACACCGCGGTGCCGTCGCTCATGAGCAAGACCGTATGGAACCCTCCAGCGGAAACTTGCACGTAAGTTAGGTCCCCGACCAGCGCTGGGAGGTTGCACTGACCAGCATCATTGCTGCCGCAAGCGACGGCGGCACCGTCGCTGCTGAGCAGCACAGTGTGGTTGCCTCCAGCTGCAACTTGCACGTAGGTGAGGTTCCCAGCCAGCGCAGGAAGGTCGCACTGGCCATAAAAATTCCTGCCGCAGGCCACCGCGGTGCCGTCGCTCCTCAGCAACACCGTGTGGCCGGCTCCAGCCGCAAGCATCCTCGAGAGGCCCAGCGGGGGCCAGCCCGATGCCGAGGTGAGGCGCGGGGGCTCGGTGTGGGGGCATTGGCTCGCCGGGTTTGAGCCAGAAGTGGCCGCGGCTGGGGCTTCGGCGGCGAGGCCAACAGCGCACGCCAACGCCACACACACAAACTGCGTATAAGCAGACACCCAATGGTGAGTTTCCATGTGCCTTCAGGGGGTGGCGGTGTATCAAATCTTTGGCTCTGGTTGGTCATTTCTACACAGGGCCCCTTGAGGCACAGGACCAATTCACTGGGGAGGCTCTGTGCACGTGTCATACATACATATATTCATATATACAGATCCCCAAACAGGGTTTACACTGAGGGGTTCTTACTAAGTCGCCTCAGGAATTGGGCCTGGGTGCCAATCTGGCGGCCATGTTGCCGCCGTCTCCGCCGCGTCGCCGCGCAGAGGGTTTTGACACCGCGCCGATCGTCCAGAATTGAATTGATCGTGGCCACGATCGTTCAAGGTCAAACTCCGTCGGGTCCAGTGTGGTCTCCGTGTCCCTCGGTGCTTCCGCGTCGCAGAATTCAACCTTGAACGCCTTGGCTGGCGTCGCCGGCGCGCCAACGTCGCATGAGCCTACCGTATACACATTTGCTGACTGGTGGCGCAGAGGATGGACCAGAAACACCACCACACCACCCCACCTACGGCACGCGGATGTTGGATTTCTGACACCCACCCCACCTACGAGCGAAGATATCTCCTCGAGGAGACATCTTCGCTCGTAGGACAGGGCCTCCGCAGCGCCCGCTCGACCTCGCCGACGTCGGCGAGAGTGCACAGGCAAGGCCCGGCAGCGCCACACGAGGGGGAGAGGAAGACAAGGAACCAAAGCTGCCCCGATACGCAACACGCAACACGCAACACGTAGCGTGCCGGGCACGGAGCTCAACACGCAGACTGAAAACGTAGGTCTGGCGCGATACGCACGCCAAAACGTGGACCAACACGTGCCGAGCCAACACGCAGCGTGTTGACGCTGACGTTTTGAACACGGTGCGTGTTGCGTTTCGACACGGGCGTGTCAGGGGGGCTCCGGAGGGGAAGAGTGTCAACGACCGCTTAGGAGCACCGGGCCCCTGCCGCGACAAGAGTAGCAGTCGTGCCGCTCCTGCACAGGGAGCGCAGCAGGCAAGCGAGGCATAGCAGAAAGGTCAGTTACACCACCGGCTGCACCGAAGAACAGCGAGGCCTCGGCTGGATCTACGCTGCGCGCTGCTCAACAACTGTACCCCCCGCGGGCACGGGAAGACGACGAGAAGTTCAAGCATGGCAGCCCCCAGGAAGTGGCGACAAGTGAGCGCCTGGCAGCACCAAGAAAGGGCGAGGTTCCGTCAGCATCTGCGCAGCTCTCAGTAACTACCAAGCAATCGGGACCGAACCCACCGCGTCCACCGAGGGTGGTCAGGGTTGGCTGCATCATGTGTTACGGTGCTGCTGCCATGCAATGCTTTTGGCCGAACCAGAACATTATACTGACTGACGTCGCGCAGCGATACAACAAATCTTGTGTTGTGTTGCGCGTCTGGCAGTTGTGTACCACTACTATCGCGCCTCACGCATACTCGTGGTGAAGTCGGTCTTGCGGAATGTCTGCAGCGCCGCGCGTGGCTCGGCCAATATATCGGCGCTGATGGTGAAGGCACTTCTCATGCGAGGCTCTAGAGAGTGCGTGTTGCAAATTGGGCATGATTTACATTACCGGCCGTCCAAACGACAAACTCGTCTTTTGTAAGGGTGCATTTCTACGCATGCACGGAAAATTTCACGACGAGCCCCACACATATTTATATACATACATATATATATATATATAGATACTTGCTCTTGCGAAGAAGCCAACCCTTTTCAGAGCGTAATTCGCATGCAACACACACCAGCACATCGAGTGTGAATGCGGACTCTGCCACAAAAACCTTCGGTGCACCCCCCCTGGAGGCCACGAGCCGCGCGAAAACTGCGCTGCACCCGCCGCGGGCTCAGGAAAGCAATGGCAGCTGGCACCCAGTGGAATGAGAGAAGGGAGACACCGAGAGAGAAGAGGGAAACGATGAGATAATCCGGAGACGCGGAGGGGTACGAGACTAGACAGAGGAGGAATGGCGGAGGAGGAGGAGGCGGGAAGAAGCAAGAGCGGCTGGCGATCTATCCCACACGAGGGCCTGACACGGAAGAATTGGGGAACAAACTTCTCAAATGTCCAACGTGCGGATATATGTTGGACCCCCCCCCGAAGGGTTTGAAAAACCCGTGCGTCGCGATCCCTCACCCCAGGCGTGGTAGCGGAAATGCCTCGCGGCCTAGCTGGTCGTGACACTGCCATGCATTTGCCTGCGCGTGTACTCGTGACGTCCTCTTTCGTCATCGCTATGGCACGCTGAGCGCTGCGAATGGGCATCGTGAATCTTGCGCTCCCAATCTGGTTCCATCGTCCCTCTGGGTGTATGCACCAGTGCGACTGGCCACGCATTTGCAAGGCCATGTAGGCATCATCGCAATCACATCGCAATCACGTCAGCTATTGCACTAATCTCTGTGCAGCGCGGAATGATGCACCCGTTATCGACCTTCTGGCAAACATGAAGGCACCTGATCAGAAAACGAGTGGCAAAACAGGGCAAGCTCACTACCAGGAAGCTGGAAGCACACATGACATATTCACATGTGGAACATAATGAGGCCATGGCGCTGGAATATCCAGAGGCCACGGATTGGATGTGAGCGCGGAAGCCCAGCGTGCGGTCATAGAGGGGCCGAGCGCTGGAAAGACATCTGGCCACATGCCCATTCAGCTCTCGTGCAGGCTGGGCGCGCCATGCGTATGCAGCTGCCTGAAAAACGCGCTCCCCTTTATTCCCCTCCCGTCCGCCACCCCTCGGCCGTCCTTCTCTGCCAGCGTGGCTTCCATCTCCCTGCCGCTCCCGCGGCACGACTCCAGGACCTTGGCGAGCGCCTCGGCGCTTGGGATGGAGGAACAACGAAGAGCATACGGCACAAGCATACTTTCTCGACGTCGGAGCGCGCCATGGGCGGCGCCAGAAGCGCTGCCAGAGGGCCCAACGCCGATCCAATAAGTCCGCGCGGACCTCCTAAGATGGGGCTCTTGCTCCTCTTCAGGCAGCTCCAGAAACAAATCCTCCTCGTCCTGCTGCTGCTCCTCCTCCTCCTCCTCTTCTTCCTCCTTCTCTTCCTGCTCCTCTTTCGCACACAGCCTCACTCATATTCACTCAGACTTCCTCAGTCTCACTCATACTCACCCATACCCAAGCTTACCCATACCAAGAAACACTCATACTCAGTCGTGCTCAAATCCTCTAGCATTCAGACTTCCTCACACTGAGGTATACTCATACGCAGGCGCACGCACAAACTCAGACTCATTCCTACTCTGGGTCGCTCATACTCAGTATTGCTCCCACTCTGGTTCGCTCACACTGAGACCCGCTCACACTCAGACTCAATCGCCGTCAGACTCGTTTATAGTCAGACCAACTAACACCCATCCTTTCTGCACACCCCGATCAACTCATGCTCCAAACCGCCCACGCACACAGGATGTGAGGATGTCTGGAGCGAGGCGCTAATTCCAGCAATCCAATGGGGGAGCCGCACAGGGCTATTGCTCGGGCCGGTTCACGCCCAGGTTGTGGGAAAGTTTCAATCGGTTCGCCTGGTGCCCAACATTTTGCTTGCAGTGCAGATTCTGAATATGTCCCTGGCGAGGCGCTGGCTTCGGGCGAGGAGCTGGTTTCAAAACTCCATGGGGGAACCGCCTGGGGGTATTGCACGGGCCAGTTCGCGCCCAGATCGCAGGGATGTCTCACACGATGTGCCTGCGCTGGTGCCGAACATCCTTTGCTTTCAAAGCAGATTGTGGGGGTGTCTCCGGCGGTTTGCCTGTTTCTGCCCCCCAAATGTTGTTTTTGTGGTCTAATGATCGCCGCGAGCACCCCAAGGGGGAACCGCCAAGGGTGAGCACATTCCAGGGTTCGCGTCCAGATTGTGGGGACGTCTCAAGCGATGTGCATGTTTCAACTACCCAAATGTACATATATAACATGCACATGTGTGCATATATATATATACACACATTATATATAGAGTGTGGGCCAAAACTCGCCGCGATACAGCAGGCGTGGCACTTGGGAGCTCAAGACTTTTTATGTGTGGTCCAATGCGTACCATGTGGAAGCAGGTGTGGCACTGGGGCACCCCAAGGCGAAGTTGCCTGAGGTGGGGACACATCAGGCTTCTCGCTCGGATTGGGGGGACGTCTCACGCGGCTTCGGCTACTTAGAATTGTGCGCTCCTCGCTCACACACTCGCCCACTCACTCACTTCCCTTTTTCCCATTCGGACACGTTCATTCGTACTCGGAACTACTCGACCACACCTCTTTCTCACCCAGACTCACTCCTCACGTTCACGCATGCGCATGGTCAGACTCGATACGCAAACGCACACAGACTTGCTCGCTCGCACTCACACTCGTTCATACTCAAACCCGCCCACACCCATACCAATGTACACTCAGACCCACTCGCACTCATGCTCACCAGCCCTCACATTGACGCATCTCCGGATTACCTTGCACCCAGGCCGACTCATACTCAGACTTGTACGCAGCACGGTGAAACACAGACTCATTCGAACTCAGACTCACCCACACCCAAGCGCACTCGCACTTAGACGCGCTCGAATTCAGACCCACTCTCTGACCCACTCGTACTCACAGTGGCGAAATCCAGACTCGTCCACACCCACACTCCATCGTACCCAGATCCACTCGCACTCCTGCTGGCTCACACTCAAATCATTCACGCTCCAATTCACAGGCAGTAAGGCTCACACGCGCATGGTTAGCCGGCGTTGCACTTGAGCACCCCGAGTGCCAGCAGGCGCAGCGAGTAGCACGCCAGAAAGCAGGCGTAACAACGCCATGCGAGCTTGCCTGAGATGCCACGGGGAAAACGGCAAGAGGAACTGCCCTTCGCTTTTGAACTTGTGTTTCTCTCGTCTCTCCTGTGAAGTGTCCAGAGGAGGAAGAGGAGGTCACTGAAGTCGTCGCCGTCGTCGTCATTGTCGCGCCTGTCGTCTACGCGGGCTCGCTCCCACCGTCAGATGCTCATGGGCACCGCTTCTGAACGAAACGTGACCGCAGCATGAGATGCGAATGTGGGGACCTGCGCGTCGAGTAGTTCTTCGAGGGGAGGACAGGCGCAGAAAAGTGGAGGGCCAGGCATCGACTTGATCAGTTGCGCCCCCCCCCGCACCGAAGGCAGGTGCAGGAACTACACGCAGGTGCCTCGGGAGCGCGCGCGCCCCCGAGGCCAGCGCGCGGCGAGCCTGAAGACCACTGGTGGGAACCACTGCGGACTGCACCCCGTGGCCCTGCGCGTGGACACGCGCGGCCAGTCTGCACGGGCTGGGGCAAATCTGTCTCAGGACTCATAGAGCAGGCATGGCGAAGAAGCGCTGGGCCGAGGAGCCCATATGCGATGTCAAGGAAGTAGATCCTGCAGGCGGCAGCACACATACACTTTGCGGCGCCGCGGCCCCGCGCGGAGTGTCCAGGCGCAGAAAATCGGGCAACGAGACTGGCGCGGCTGGCCCAGGTCACGCAGCGTGGGGACAGGGATCCGCCCATATGTGAACGACCGAGCTGCTGCTGGGTAGGCCACGAGGGGCGGGGGGGAGATGCGGGAGCGAGACGAAAGGGACGCTGCACAGCACGCGAAGGCAAGACGTGGCGCAGTGGCAAGCCCCAGTGGCGTTGCTGTGACCGTGGTAGAGGGAAGAGTCGAAGCCATTGACGGCCCAGCCCAGGCAGGTGCCGGGGAGAGACAACCCAGGGGCGCGGAAGCAAAAACCATCGGACAAAAAAAACGCGGGCGTGCGCGCGAGGGGGCAACGCAGTAGCAGGCAAAGGGGGCCGGGCAGAACAGTGCGGCAGCGGCCGGGCCAGGGGCGCTGGCCAGGGAGGAGGCAGGCGCCGCAGCATCCCGCGGCCCGCATCCCAGGACGGGGGCGGGGGAGGGGCGGAAACGGCCGCGCGGCCAGAGTGCGGCGCCCAAGGCGGGAAGAGGACGGCGAAGGTGCAGCAAGAGGCCGCACCGCCCGGATGGCGGACCGCGCAGCGTCGCCGACCAGCCCTGGCACGGGCGCCTTCGGGCGGGGCGCCTGCGTGAGCTGCGCCCGCGGGGGGCCGCTGGCGGGCACCGGGAGGAAGGGAAGGGGGGGCACCTCCGCACCCCTTCGAACGGTAGGGAGGTCCTCAGGCGATGTGGGATCACGGAGATGGCCGCGGCTCGACCCAGGCAGGACAAGACATGTCCCTGGAGGCGAGCCGCTTCTGTGGACCGCGGTGCTCCCGTGCCCGTGGTGGGCTACCCACTGGAGCTGGTGTCCAGGAGTCTGGTACCGTGCTGAGGAAACCCAGCAGCTGCTCTGCGGTGCGGGGTCGCCGTAGGAGCCGCGCAGCACAGCAGGACCGTTGGCGTGGTACCTTTGGCGCCAGGCTTCGATGGCCTAGGGCAGCATCCCAAGAACTGCCATTTGTCTTACAAGCCTGCATCCTCAGGCTTACTAGGCGCATCCTCTTCTTGTGCTGACATATCACACCGCTGCCTCACTCTCTTGCACTTCTCTCGCAGCAGCACTCTCGTTCCGCAGCGGGTGCCAATAATGCAGGGATGGGTTTGCAGGTTGGGCTCGGAATACTTGGGGAGGTGGGGTGCACTTATCGAGATACCAGAGCTACCCTTCTTCACAGGCCTGGCGGGCGCCTACTCAAGTGCCTACTCTTTTCTCTGTCCTGTTTTCCCACGTGGCCCGCGGCGCCCGCCAGGTCTTTTCTGGCTTGAGTCGAGTCGGGCACACCTGTTTTCACCCACACCACAGGGTAACCTTAGGCTTGTCTAACGAAAAAGGAATAGGAAAGGGGGGGGCGCGGGCGGGGCCCCATGAGGGCCGCTGGGGCGGGGTGCGGGACGCCAGCGGTGCGCGGGGCTGGAGTGCGGGACACGGGCCCGTTCGAGCAGCTCCGCGCGCGTTCGGGCAGGACCTTGCCAGTCGACCCGCTGAGGGAAGGCCTGCATCGGCTGCGCGTAAGAGTGGCCCTTCGCTAGAGTGACCTTTGGTGGTGCTGGCACAACATTGGAATCGGGTGATGTTTCCTTTGGAACAAGCCTGACCTCGCGATGGCACCTACATGTCGCGATTGCGCTCGCATCTGAGCGAGCCAGGTTTTGGCCCCACCCCTTGCAATCGACAGCAACGCATACGCGGCGCACCTGGCAGTGTGCATTTGTTTCCCGAGGGGGGTGCCAGTCGAGAAGACGGCGCGTTTTCCGCCCCAGGGCCACTTGCGAATCCCAGCCCAAATCCTAAATCGTCCAGCTTGATGGTACTTGGATGTCTTAATATATGTGCGTATATTGGGATCTGTTTGAATAAGTTTGAATATCTTCTCGAACCAATGGGGATCCTTATTCTTGCAAGTTGTCCACATCGATTCAAACTTAATTCCAAGCCAGCGGATAGGGCCAGTTTGGGCCATGACGCGGGTCCTGGTCCGACGTCATCGCGATGCGGCCCGGCAGTGCCAGACCTCATCGTGGCGGCCCCCTGCAGCCTCTGCCTTCGCAGCGCCTTCGATGTGCCAGCCGGGGCGTTCGAATCCGATCGGCGGAGCTCCGCGGTGGCCCGCCGGCGCAAAAGATCTTTCGAGTGGCGCCCCGCCTATCATTGATGCGGCGCGGCCGCACCGGCTTGCGCGGCTGCGTTGGGCCCCCACCGGCGCCCCAGAAGCCGCGCGCCAGCAGGTGCGGCGCGCAGGTGTGCCCAGAACTATCCGGGGTAACTCGGGCCCGGAGTAAGTCGGGCTCGGAATCCCGAAAAACCAAGCAGAGTTAGCCCTGACCCCAGTTACCCCTGATGATTCGGGGCTCTGGG